CCCGCCCCCCGGGGAATACCAGTGTCCGTGTTCTCTTTCATTTACAGCAGCAGGGAGGCGTCTGTATCGATGTCTCTTTTCAGGGACGGGTGCAGTGGGCTGGGCACAGGCACAGTGCAACATCAGGACCACATGACATCTTATTATGATGCAGTGGTTTCAACTTCCCACCATGAGTAAGATCATCCAGTTATTCCTCCACACAGAGAAAGAGTAAAGCCTTGCAACAGAAGCATTACTCACCCTCCCAGGCCAGTATTAAAGACCACTTCACCGGCAACAGAGGATGGATGGCCAAAGGAGTAACCCTTCATCTTAGTTCCATCTTCCAGGACAATGTGTGCTGTCTGTGCCTAAAGAAACAGGTCATGAATCTTAGCAGAATACAAAATGTAAAGCACAGCTAGTGGAAAAAAACCCCAAAGGTACAATACACAAACTGAGTAAATAAATGTACAGTACATTTGATGAAACCTTACTACCTAGATTCAGAGTCGTTCTACTGTTACTTGTCACTTTTCCTCAAATGCATGGCTCTTGCCACTGGCAGCTGATTTATTTTGTTTTGCTTAAAAGAGGAACTGAAGCACGTCGGTACCTTGTCTATTCTAATTGTAGAGTTCTTGTCAATCCAGAAATACTTCCATTCAGCTGAAGTGCTATGTGTCTATCCTTTCCCCCTTATTATTCCGTAGCTTTGCTCAAGTATTGTTTTAAGGGAAGTTCATGAGTTTGCAAAAACATTGTGAATTGTACCAAAGAGCTCATCATCACTCTGAGGTTTGGAGCCAGAAGGAATCTTTAAGGTTATCGATCAGACTGTGTTCCCCAGAGCTCTTGTGTTTGATGGCGTTGTCCCAAGGGCTGCCTCCTCCATCAGCTTTATGGTCATAAAGAAGCTGCAACTTTATGCTCTGTTAATACTGATACAAAAGCAAGCACTATGGAACATCTAAAAATCTACTGTCTTTTGCTTTTTAGTCAAGTTAATTATATCCGTGCCTGTTTCTCTCTTTAAGTTCTAAGGCATTCATAATTTGATCACTTCACCATAGTAACCTTTGAAACAGCTTCTGTAAAATTCTTGGCTTAGAAGAGGGACAATTAGAGAAACATATCTAAGAAGCAGGCATCATCCACTCCTCATAAATACTTTACCTTCTATTGTTCAAACAGTTTAAATCTAACTCTCAAGGTCCATAAAGTTCAGGAGAATGAGAAATGTATTAAACCACACCTAGGGGTACAAAATCTAGACTCTGAAACTCTGGAGGACACAATAATTGGAACATGGTTAAAGAAATAAACCATAAAAAAACTCTGTAATAATTAAAGAACTTTGCGTAATAATATTCAGTATGTTTTTTAAGATTAAAGATGATATTGTGGTTATATTTTTAAGAGTTTTTATTGTTTTAAAGATATACGCTGAAGTCCTGAAATGATTAAGGACAGACAATACGATGTCTGAGGTTTGCTTCAAAGGAGGTTGGGAGAATGAAGTGGACTATGGATGAAACAAGTTTGGCCGGAGTTGAGATAGTTGAAGTAAGGGTGATTATTGTACTGTTGTTCCCTCTGTAAGGATTAAATATGCTCATTAAAGATAAAAACATACGGACTCTCTACTTTCCTTCCCTTACATTTTTAGGACTGGATCCCATAGTGTCTAATCCTTTTATATCCTGCCACTCACCTCCACCCCTACCACACACAGACACACACCCCTTGGCATGCAGCAGAAAATGATTTCTAGACTTCTGTTTTGAAGATCTTCTAGTTTTATAACATGCACACAGTTTTTCAAGCATTAAAAAGAGAAAAAACATTATTTTTCTATAGTGATCTTCTCTGTAGAATGTCTTTCTTAAGTGAAAAGTACACAAGTCTTGACATTGGAATGATTGCTCTTCAGTGAAAAGTAGCGTGTGATGATCTTTAAATCGGTACATCAGAGACCTAAATATTATTTATGTGTGCGTGCATACACATTAACTTGTATACACACAAAGCTATTTTAGTATTTCTTATTAAAATCAATATATATAAGATACTTCTTTCAACGGTCAGTTTATATTTTTTTAATCAGAGGTACAATGCGTAGATTTCAGGTTTACGTTTCTGAGTTCAGCTCCTGTGTCCAAGAAATCATCTTTGCACATCACTTCTGCTAACATGATATTCTTATTTTTTATATTTTATTTTGTCAACTATTGTTTGTTTATTCATAATTCAAGACAGAGGTTGATGATTTTAGGAAGGAAGAGTGTAATGCTCAGTATATTTCCAAAGACTATTATAAGCTCTTCGAACGTCTACGGTGATGGGTCTCAGTAGGGCATGTTTACTGGAAAAATTCCCCAGGTAACTCTGACATGTTTCACTAGGTGAAACCTTTAGGTCCAAGTAATGAAAATTCGCTGTCAAAAAATATTTTCTACTGAAAGTATTATTTTCCCTTCCCAAGGAAGTCATGCGTAACCTACATGCTTTCATAAAATGGAAGGAAAAAAGAAAGCCTTTCCTTAAATAATATGTAACTTTGATAGAACCTAAAACAACTGTACTTAGTTTACAAAACTTGTGTTAACTGCAAATTTTAATTGTTTTCTATGTACCAGTTTATCTACCCTTACTCTGAGCCATACCTGCCTAAAATATTACCTCTGTTATTTGTGTTTTTTATTAAACTTTCCCATCTAAGAATTTCAAGTTGTCTGATCTATGTGTGGCCACCACCTAATTATTTTTTTAAAGGTAAAAATTAACATAAGCAAATCTAAGTCCTATTAGCCTGTTCCTACAATCTGATTTGGTGTGTTTTTTTCTCTCTCCACGGGACTAGTTTTCAACTTCGCTTTCCACTTTTTAAAGATATATTTGAGGAGACATTTACTGTTGTCTGGAATAGTCCCTGAGATTGTGCTCAATATGTCTTTTTGCTCCCTTAATTATATTTTTTGTTCTTTTTGGCAGCTTTTATAGACCTTCCAATCCTCTTTCCAACTGCACACTATATTGTTACAAGGCCTCTGTTTATTGCCTACAGAACCCTTTATATTCCACTTAACTACATTGGCCTCCAATGAGTTTAAAATGATGAGTGCCAATTGACTTATCTATGAATTGATGGAGGAACTCTGAACAAAGAGCTATTATTTGGAATCCCCTGTTCTGGCTAACAGTTCCCCAAATGCTATTTCATTCCAACAAATCCAAAAGAAATCACCTTGTTACTATCATAAGGTATTTTAGTGGCCTCAGTCCTAGTAAAAAGAGGTCCAAAGCCTAGGAATTAGACTATAACATTAAGATATATTTAAGTGCCTACTGCTAGAGCACTATGATACTTTAAATGCTGAAAATGCAAAGGAAACTTTAAGAGAAATATGTACACTTGTAGAATATCAGGAGAAGTAACCAAAATACTATATAAATATGAGTTCTACAAAATAAAGGGCCTCTATTATGAGTGTTTAATTAAATGAATATCTCAACAAGACAGTTTAAACATTCAAGTCACAACACGTGCCAAGTACCATGCTAAGCTCTGGAAATACATGTATAAGTGTCCCCAGTCCCCCCACGCAGTAAAAGCGCTAGTCATGTGCATGGATGATAAAGAGAGGAGACCTCAAGAAGAGTATCACTGAAGCACCTGGATGTACAAAGACATACAAAGTTTTATCATTTCCCTTGGAACATGTCTCTTTTTAAATCCTCACCAGGGATATTTTTCCCATCGCTTTTCAGAGAGAGTGGAGGGGAGAGAGAGAGAAACATCGATGTGAGAGACACATTGAAGGGTTGCCTCCCACACACTCCCTGACCGGGCTGGGGGTGGAGCCTGCAACCAAGGTACGTGCCCTGGGACCCTTCAGTTCGTGGGTCGATGCTCTAACCACTGAACCAAACCACCCAGGGAGGGAGATGACTCTTTAATAAAAAATAATTCACACTTTCTTTTCCATCCATGATTTAGTAATAAAACTAAAAATTTTAAGAAAAACACTAACATAAAATTTTGAATTTGAAGTCTCAAATTTAAAGATTCCTTCAAGTCTTTGCTTGAATGTCATCCATCTTCTTGGAGAGACCTACCTTGACCCCTCTCCCCATTTAAAATGACAATATGCCTCCCAGCACTCTATCTCCTTAGTCCACGCTTTTCTAGTAGCTCTCATTGCTTCCTAACATATCATCCAGTGTCTTATGTAAAATATCTGTCTTATCCCACTAGAGAGTGAACTTCACACGGGCAGAGTATTGGGTCAGCCTTGTTCCTGCTGTGCCTCCTGGGCCTACATCAGCGCTTGGTACAGGGTAGAGCTGCAATTGTGAATGAATAAATTTGGTTACAGATCAAAGCCCTGTTTTCTACACAACTTAAACAGTAATAATTCTGATTCTCAGATCCCTACCTGTTTGAATGCTGTCTTATTTCCTAATTGATTTTAAACTTAGGGATTGATGGGAAGGTATGATTATCACCCCTAAAATCCTACCAGCAGTAAATACCTAGCACATCTAATTGAATGAATGAATGAATGAATGAATGAATGAATGAATGAATGAATGAATGGCTCTCAGGTGGCAAAGATACTGCATAATTCTACTTTCGTTTCTCTGGGACATACAGACTGGCTTGCAAATCACATTCCTGCTTTGCTCCCAGTCATATTTAGACTATTCCTCTTAGGCTCTGCTCACAGAAATGAGAAGTGATGGGCAATTTATAGCTGTATTTAATTCCACATGATCTGCTTCCTGGGGACTAGGTAAGAGAATAAAGAACGCCTGCTTCAACAGTATTTTCTCTTCCATGTTCCACCAAGTAGAGATGTAAATGCATGCAGCAATTTCTTTTTATAAAGCCATTATATCATAATTAAGCTTTATTCGCACTTTAGTAAAATTACTTTAGTCAGATAATCTATTAACTGTTTAGCAGAGTACTGCTAAATGATTAAATAATGAATTCAGTAAAAGAGGAAAAGTTACAACTGAAAAAAATAAATAAAAAGATGCATAAGCACTTTTTCCATACCCATCTTGCCTGTTATTTATTTTAACATTGATACTATTAAACATTTCTTTTTTTCATTTTCTACTTGATATAATTTTTACTTTTAATCACATTTTAAATTCTTAACTTGTCTTATTTTTTGTTGAACTGTAATCTAAAACATAGATTTCTTATTCAATATTTTTCTAGGACTGGTGAGTCTTACAAATCTTTCAAATCCAGAGATATTAAGTCTACTATTAAGATATTGGCGTTTCAGTCTCTCTCTCTCTTTGGCATCTTTCCCTAACATCTCCTGGGAGTAACAACTTTGAAATCACACCTGGT